AGAGAAGGGCAACCGCAATGTCATCGACCTTTGAGACGTGCAGTCCTCTCTGCAAGACATCGGCAGCAACGTTTGGCGTGGACTCAGCAACATGTGAACTGGACCTGGCGACTGGCGACAGTGGAGAAAAGTCTTATTCACTGACGAAAGCCGTTTTTGCGTCAGTCGAGGAGATGGAAGAATCCGGATGTGGAGAAGACCCAACCAACGGTTTGCTGACAACGCCCTGCAGGTCGATGCATAGGGTCGTCCCAGCATAATGATCTAGGGTGTTAAAAGGAGATAACTATGGATTTTTGCTCGTCTTCTCCCATTTTCATTAAGTGCTCTATTCAAGGATAAAATGTTCAGTTTTCTGAAGAATGTTTGTGTGTGTTTCTGTAACAGGTTCTTTTTACGAGAGAGGTTGTTAGCCTCGTGACTCAACCCCCGACCTGGAGGCAGGATGACTCTGTTTCAGGAGTCACTACCTGGTTTGCCATTTAGTCGCCTCGTACGACACGCTAGCACCACGTCAGTCCTATTCTTCTCAATGCCGAAACTGCACGGCTGAAAACTAATTACCTAGAAAAAAAAAGGCAAACAGCAGCTTAAAGTGTAAGAACATCATCAACCTTGTTTACCTTTCATAAGCCATAATATAGAGACTCAATTAGAGACAAGTCAATTTTTAGCATGATCTGAATGAAAAATTACCAGACTCAACTTTGGACTGAACTGAACTAAAATGGAGAAGGGCTTTCCTTGTCATAGAAAGCGAAATTAAATCAAAATAATTGCACATTCAAAATATCCAACACCCTTCAGAGTATTGACAAGATAAGTTTACACAATAAAGTTCATAACGTTTCTTCTCTGTTCACAATGCCTTATACACAAAAGTCTGCAGCACTGAGGCAGAGAGACAAAGACACAGTCAGGCAATCAGCCTAAGAGCCCGCCTCCTGCTCCTGGCCAAGTCCCTCCAGGATCAGTCCCATCGGGGTTCGCTTCAAGCCCACGTACTCCATCTTATTGGCCAGCTTGTTCTTGATGTTCCGCAACCTCAGTGAAGCATGAATCAGCATTAACAACATTGGGAAAGCGATGCCGAAGACAAACACGAGGACGGCTCCAAATATGTACACCACAAAGTATCCTGCAGCGACGACGGCAGCAACGCAAAACACTGGGTGGTCATGCTTGAAGCGACGAGCCTTATATTGCTTATTGGTGAAGTAGACAAACACACCAAAGATGAGAGCCAGTGCCGTGAAGCCTAACAAGATTTGGACAGGATGTATTATTCCTATCATGAGAAATATAAGGAGCGCTGATAGGAAATAATTTGACTGATAAACCACCGGAAGCCCTTAAGGCAGAGAAAGATACGTTTGTGGAAATTCTATATGCTCTATTTGGAAAAGTTTGGCAAAAGGAGGAAATACCATCAGACTGGAAGGAAGGCCACCTAATCAAGCTGCCAAAGAAAGGAGACCTCAGCAACTGTAACAACTACAGAGGCATTACACTCCTTTCCATACCGGGGAAAGTCTTCAACAGGATACTCCTGGAGAGAATCAGCTGGCAACGGATGAGAAGCTTCGAGGAAACCAGGCAGGATTCCGCAAAAACCGATCATGTGTGGACCAGATCGCTACTCTACGTATCATTGTTGAGCAATCGCTTGAATGGAATTCACCACTCGTGGTCAACTTCATTGACTATGAAAAGGCGTTTGACAGCGTGGACAGGGAAACTCTGTGGAAACTCATGCGGCATTTTGGAATACCCGAGAAAATCGTCAAGCTTGTGAAGGCCACCTATGATGGAACAAGCTGCCAAGTCTTCCACGAAGGACAACTCTCAGAACCATTCCGGGTACAGACAGGAGTGCGATAAGGATGCTTGCTCTCACCTTTTCTCTTCATACTGGCAATTGGCTGAATATCAGTTTTTTTCACCATGGATAAAGCATGAAGGTCCAATGTTCAAAGTTGAAAACTCAAAAACCGTCCTTGCTATCTCTGAATAAAATATGGCCCACATATTATTATTATTATTATTATTATTATTATTATTATTATTATTATTATTATTATTATTATTATTAT